ATGATGACGGGGCGACGATGAGCCGGCCGTCATATGGAGGTGATGGTCACCATCCAGGAAGGGATGGCGAGCCTGATCGCTAGCTAAAGACTTTTGGTGCTGAGGAGGCCAATCTTGAGATAAATAATCACGCCGAGGCCGAAAGGCCTGTCGTGATGTGCGGACGGCGATGATGAGGAGCCAGTCCGACATATGATGACGAGGCGATGATGAAGCTGATCGTCATATAAAGGCGACAGTCGCTTATCCGGGAAAGGAATAGCGAGCCCGGTGATATTCATGTAATTTCCGATTGTATGTTTGTATTTTAACTAGTTTTTATTAGTTCTAGTTGAGGAAATTACACACTTTTGGTGTAATACTTTATTTTCATATTTATTTGTAATTTGTTTAGATTAGGACTTTTCTGAGCTAAACAGGTCAAAGATCATCCAAGGGATCAAGATTGGACCTTAAAAGATCAAGGAAAGTGCAAGGAGGCCAGAAAGATTTCGATTTGGAAAAAATACTCATGTACCCGGTCGGGTATTGCCTATACCCGATCGGGTATTTGCTTGATTCGATTGTCCACATCAAATCCGGGAACAAATGATCGTGGGAGCAAATTTTCGTAAAGATTCGTCACATACCCGATCGGGTATGCCGATATACTCGATCGGGTATGCCGACATACCCGATCGGGTATGCCCAGAAAAGGAATTTCTAGGAAATTTCCTAAGATACCCGGTCGGGTATCCTATATACCCGGTCGGGTATGAGACCCTGCAGCTCCCAAAAGCCTATAAATACACCCCTTTCCTTCGCAATAAAAATAACCAATTCACATATACTTCTAAGCTCAGTCTAGAATAGTTCTTCCTTTATATTTTCATCATGTTTAGTCTCCAAATGAGGAGCTAAACTCTTCCATCTTGGTTTTGCTACTTTGAAGCTTAATGAATTTGTAAGTTGTGAGTTATTCTCTTTAATTTTCTTCCTTGAATATTAATTCTTCCTTTAAATACTATTTCTATATCAATGTTGGGGAGTGTTACTAAGATGACAATTAGTTAACATCTTGACATTAATTATAGTAATAGTTATTTCTTCCTCTATGTTAATATTGGGGAGTGTTACTAAGATGACAATTAGTTAACATCTTGATATTAAGTATAGTAGGATTCATACTATTTAATATTCTTCCTTGAGTATTAATTAATTCCTATTCATATTTCATATTAATATTTTGAACATTACTTAAAGGATCAACTAGTTTTGTTTCATATATTAATTATTACTAGAATCAATCGATTAATACGCTTGTTATTAATTCGGTTCCTTCAACGGTAGTAAACTTGGATTGTTAATGCATGCGTCTCATGATTAATAATCTAAGGGGAATTAATTATATTAATTAAACCGATAAGCCGCTTGTGTTGAGGTTATCAATTTCAATCGTTTTCATCTCAAGTTTATTGCTACTATCGTGTTAATATACGACACGTGTTCTATATTGACTCGGTAGTAAGTTTTATTAATGAACGCGTCTCGTTATTAATAACTACCCTCGATGAACTGGATATACTCCTCGATTGAGTATTCGAGAGGAAGATAGTTAAAGATATAACCGGGATCGACGAACATTTCATTAAGTGGATAAAAGCAAAACCAAGTCCTCATCTCTATAAATTAAACTCATATAAGTCGTTTATCTTAGTGTTAATTAAATTCAATCAAATCAAACTTAAAACCCCCTTGTTACTATTTATATAAAAGAAAAGTATTCCTTTCCATGTGGATATGAACCTTACTTCACTATACTACGTATTAGTGTTGTATTGATAAATTATTTTGAGTGCACCTCACGACAAGTGCACGTCAAATTTGGCACCGTTGCCGGGGAAAGGTAAATATTTTCTTTTATTTTAAATAAAAAAAAGTTAAAATAAAAAAAATATAAAAAAATTACTTTTCTATTTTCTGACCTTACATGAGTATATGGATACCAACACATCATCCTTAGAGAGTCAAGTTTCCGTTTTGGCTTCTCTCATAAAGGAGTTTATCTTAAGCTCAGAAACTCAAGATGCCAAGACCTGCGATATTTGCATGTCTCACAGGCATATTGCGGATTTTTGTCCAAAGCTCCAAGAAGAATACCTCACACAAATTAATTATGTACCTCACATGAGGTATGATCCATTCTCTAACTTTAACATGTCTACGGAGGACATGGTTCGGGCTCTTACTAACAGTGTGACCACCATGCAACAAAATATGGTGCAATTCCAAATTGAGACCAAGTCTAGCATTTTAAACTTGGAATCTCAAGTGAGTCAAATAGCCGGAGCCGTGAGTAGGCTTGAAGCAAGGGATTCGGGAAAACTTTCCTCTCAAATAGAATGTGATCCTAAACAGCAAACTTTTGCAATCACATTGACAAATGAGAAGGAAATGCAAGAGGAGATCCAAAATCCAGAAGAAGAAGAAGAAAGAGACACGGAGCTCGAGCTGGTCAAAGAAGAGGATGAACCGTGTTTCAAGGTCAAATATCTATCCTTATCATTCTTTGAGGTACCCCCAACAGTTCTAAAAACTTCGAGGGAAACTCATAAAATTGAAAAGGATAAAAACATTTTTGAAATCTTCACAAAAATTGAGAGATCAAAACATTTTCCATTGATCATGTTAATCGATAATTTCTTTCCTCATGAATCAATGGAAATCTGGATATTTGATCCTGGAAAGATTTTCGAAGTGAAGAGTCAAAATAATTATCATGATCCAAGCTTGAACGATTGAACACAATGATGGCGTCGTGCCGCGACGTTAAACGAGGCGCTTCTTGGGAGGCAACCCAAGCAAAGGTACATATTCTTTTCTCCCTTGTAGTTTCCATTTCAAAAAAAAAAATACCAGGGGCACCATACCCGATCGGGTGTCACGTACTACCCGGTCGGGTATAAATAAAAATATAAAGGGTGAAGCTCGGGTAACCAAATACTCAATCGACTTAGGTGTGGAAAATTATGAAGTACCCGATCGGGCAGCTCCATATACCCGGTCGGGTATGTTAACTTTTTCTGAGAATATGTTCGCACCAAAACGCCCGATCGAGTATACCCCAACTCGATCGGGTAGGACCCCGGATTTTGAAGAAACACAGGCATACCCGATCGGGTATGGTGCCCCTGGGCGCTCGTCTGAGATAAGGGACGGCGCTGGGCTCTCGTCTGAGATGATGGACGGCGCTAGGCGCTTTACTGAGATGTGGGACGGCGCTGGGCGCTCGTCTAAAGATGAGGGACGGCGCTGGGCGCTCGTCTGAGATAAGGGACGGCGCTGGGTGCTCGTCTGAGATGAGGGACGGCGTTGGGCACTCGTCTGAGATGAGGGAGGCAATGGGCGCTCGTCTGAGATGATGGACGGCGCTGGGCGCTCGTCTGAGATGATGGACGGCGTTGGGCGCTCGTCTGAGATGAGGGACGGCGCTGGGCGCTCGTCTGAAGATGAGGGACGGCGCTGGGCGCTCGTCTAAGATGATGGACGGCGTTGGGCGCTCGTTTGAGATAAGGGACGACGTTGGGCACTCGTCTGAGATGAGGGATGGTGTTGGGCGCTCGTCTGAGATGATGGACGGCGTTGGGCGCTCGTCCGAGATGACGGATGGCGCTGGGCGCTTGTCTGATAGGTATAGTATTTGCCTGATATGTACTTAGTCAAATTTTGGGGATTTCATTTTTTATCGCTCGAGGCCGGCGAGTGCACGGTCCTCGGCTTCCCTCTTTTGATTTGTGGGGATTTCGCTTGAGACCGGCAAGCGCACGGTCCTTCGGCTATCCCTCTTTTATTTTTGGGGATTTCGCTTTAGGCCGGGAAGTGCACGGTCCTTCGACTGTCCCTCTTTTATATTCTCTCTTTACTTCTTTGAGCGAGGAGTGAGTATGTGACACTCCATAAATTTAATAAAAAGAATTTAAGATAAACTAACATATTATACCTATTGATTGTACTTGTGGATAATCTTCTTAGCTTATGCTTCGGGACGAAACATCTTTTAAGGAGAGTAGATTGTGACACTTCTAAAAACAAGAAAAATAAAATAAATAATTTTATTAGTGAGGTAAAATTTGACGAAAATGAGATTGTAATAATTAAGTGAATTATATAAAAATTTTAACATCGGTGATATTTTTAATCAGATAAACTGTTTTAATAATAAAAGTGACATTTTTATAATAATTATGTTGACCAGACTGGACCTTGACTTAAACAACAAAAGTGATATTTTTGTAACAAGTGATAACTATACATATGACATAGATAATAAACGTGATATTTTAATTCAAAGATAAGAGTAAATAAAATGTGTACAAAAATACCACACAAAAATAAAGACTTTAAAAGATTTGACCTTTAAAGTCTAATAATACGAAGTATGACACTACATGCTCCGTATAACAATAATACACCAACTATCGTACAAAATAACAAAGTTAAAAGAGTTGACTTTCCATAGCTACTATATATACCTAAATAATGAACTTGTAATAATCTAAGCATGTGACAACCCGCAAACTCACATGGGCTGTGGCTATTCACATACGTACATACCATGTGTAACCATACAAATCAACCAAGCAACACATTCACATGATAAGGCTAACTAGCTGCGTGTACATGTTCTACACCAAGACAAAACCAACAACTTGCATACTCATATACAAATACATATTTATATACATACTTCCTCCGTTCTTAAATAAATGTAACAGTCAACTTTTCACACTTGTCGAGACACAACTTTGACCATTAATATAAATGATTTTGTATTAGTAAAAAAATTAAAAAACTTAGATTATGAAAATTTACAATGAGACACGTTTAAAAATATTTTTTTCAGAAAATAATATTATTACATTAATAAATAAAACGTAGTCAAAGTAGAACATGTGAATAGTGTAAGAGTCAAAGTGTTGCATTTATTTAAGAAGGGAGGTAGTATATACTAACCCTCCATGGGGTAAGCCGGCAAAACAAAAAGAAACGCCAACCTACAAAAGAAAGAGAGATCGAAAAAGAAAAAAAAAAGATAAGAGCGTATCCTTGCACCAATGATGTCGGAGCTCGCCGGACTGGTTCTCCATGCCGGAGTAGAAAAGTCCACTGGGGTGACTGGGCCTGGTCTAACCTCCACTTGATCACCATAAAAATATCACATAGCTTGAGAGGCGGTCGCCGGAAGCCACTGGACGCCAGAGAAAAGATAGAACTCGCCAGAGGAGAGACCGTAGTTGTTTCGCCGGACTGTCGAATCATTGTCACGCCGGAGGAGGTGAACCCAATATTATCCGGGACGATGCCGTCTCTCTCCAGGATCGCCGTTGCCTGTTGCTGAAGCAGCTTAAAGGGTCGCCGGTGGGAGAAGCTACGCCATCAGCTGTCACCGTTCCTTCGTCCAGTTGCCGGAGAAGAAGTGTACGTACATAGGTGACTCTTCCAAACATTAATTTTTGTCTAATTTTAATGGGTTGAGTTTTTAATAATGTGGGCTGGAATAGCATAATAATAAGGAGATAAAAAGAAGAAGAATAAATGGACTGATATTATAGTATTAATCATAACCGGAAATTAGTAATGAAATATGATTAAGAATTTGAATATTCAATTTAGAGATATAATTTGGATATTATTAAAATTCAGATATTTTAATGATATTAAGATTTCATTTGTTATTATTGCCAAAAAACAAGGATTTTATTTATTATTCGGATACTTTATAAGTAGTACATTAAAAACAGATAAAATTAATGGCGGTTAATAAATTTAAGTGATTAGAAAATGTGAATATTTTAATAATATTTGATATATAATTTAGATATTCTAATATAGTTCGAATACTAGATTATTTATTAAAGGTAAGGCCGAATTAAGTGTTAAAGTGATAAGAGTAATCAAAGTGATTAAGCATAAACTAAATTCGAATATATAATCAAATACATTAGGGGGAATCTCAAATTTTATTAAAAATAGAATAAGTGATTAGTTATGTCATCTTAATTAAAAAGGTGATTATTTAGAGACAAGAATAGAGGAGGAGAACTAGGGGCATCGGATTTGAGGTAAGTTTTTCTACCAATCCAAAATTGTTTCCTCGTATTATATGTTTATTATGCATTATGTGATTAAGTGTGAATTTTGAATTATGTGTATCTGATTTTGAGGAGATATTAGATCTATGGTATTTGAGAAGTGCAAACTAAGTACTTTTGGGTATTATATATTTTTAAATACTTTTGAGACTATTTAGATGGATTCAGAAATATTTTTAGAAGTATATCTAAAGTCAAGATAAAATTTACGTTTTTATAAGAGGTGAGCACCACGGGAGAAATCCGTGGTGTCGGTTTTCCACGTCTGGATAAATGTGGAGGGTGATTAGGGCTGCTACTACTAAGAAGTACAGTTTGAGTTAAAGTGACATTTAGATCTATGATCATTTTTAAGAAAAAGTTATAGTAGTAGTCCCTAATCATTCATAGATATCTTATTCAGGGGTGGTTGGTAGACTGAGTCCCGACTACTCGGGATGACTTACTACTCGGAGGGCTTGGAATCCCTTTAGAGGGTGTGCACACTTAAGGTAGTCGTTTCGTTTCCACAAGAGCAGTTGTGGTACATGCATTGTTCGGGGTGGCCGTCCGTAGTCACGGTTCACCGGGCTCAGTCGAAAGGTTGAGCACCGCCCTTCTAAACCACTGGGAAGTTAGAAAGATTGGGATTTTGAAAACCCAAAGAGAAGAAGAGTTTACAATTTAAGAAGTGACTTTTGAGGTGATACCGAGAAAAGAAGAATTTATTAATAAAGAAGTAATTTTTGAAGTGAATAAAAGAGAAAAGGGTTTCAGTGGAGTGAGTTATTTTTATATAATATTATATAAAAATATATTTTAGTCAAACATGATTATTTTACGGGGTTGGGTAGTACTTACTTAGCTCTAAAGCTAATTTTTGTTTTCTTTTCTTTGTTTTGTTTTCTGCACTTTATTTGTGCAAGTGATGATGGCTATGTTGATTGTTGATTGCATGCGTCTGAGAGCGGTTGCTAGATGCCTTAGTAAAACCTAGACATGAATGAACATTTTAGTTACGTTGAACATTTGTTTCTTCATATTACAATTAATTATGACTATTTTGTTTTAGTTGCCTGTGCATTCGGTTAACAGATGACCTGATGTGGCGGTAACACCCGTTTTTCTATTTAAATTATTTCCGCTGCAAGATTTTTATCAATTTCGAATGAATAAAGCAAGTTTATTATCAATAAATTATTATTTCAAGTATTATTTTTGGGCGGGAAATTGGGGGTGTTACAGGGTATCCTACTTTCAGTCTTCGGCCGAGGGGGTCGATAGTCCTTCGGCCGGTAAGGAGTCCTACTGGATCGTCCTATGATCTCGGGGAGGTCCCGTCGCCTATTTACGACGTGGGCTAAGGCTTTTGGTCGGTTACCGACGGCTGCCGTTCCTCAACCGCGAGTTTGGGGATTTTTGTCACCTCGGCCATGATTTCAGACCTGTCGTCCTGCGATTTCGCGTGAACGACGCGGTGAGCTTCCCATTTCAAGATGTGGGCTGTTTGCGGGCCCCTCGTCCTGGGGACATCATCGGCCTTACCTGAGCATCTCGCTCTAAGGGGTCGATACGATGTGCTCTTTCGGCCATACCTGAGCATTTCGCTCTAAGGGGTCGATATAATATGCGGTATCTTAGACTGAGGTGTACCGTTTACCGCTCTTAAGCATAATAATGTCGTGTGCGGCCGATAGCGGTTCTCATTTTTAGATGCCCGAGTCACCGAATAAAGGTGACTAGGGTAGATCGGTGGGCTTACATATAATCCGAATCATCAAATAAAGATGTTCGGTAGAGTAGAGATCGGGTCCACCGTCCACCACTTTGGGGATTTTTTAACCGGCTCTAACGGTGGTGATAAAAATAATAACGCCAATAATAATGCATCATTAGCGACCTCGGGAAATTTTAATCCGTCATAATGGTCTTCACCACCTCGGAGGTTTTTAACCTGTCATAATGGTGGTGGAAATAATATACTCCCTCCGTCCCATAAAATAAGTCCCATTTCAATTTGGATCGGAGTTTAAGAATGTTGGAATAAAGTGGAAATGCATGGTTGTAGTTGAGTAAGAAAAAGGTAAATGAATGTTAGCCACACAAAACTTTCCAAAAAGGGAAATGAGAACAATTTTTTAGGACGGCCCAAAAAGAAAAATGAGACTTATTTTATGGCACGGAGGGAGTAATTAATAATAGTAATAATTATACTAATATCATTTAATAAATATGAGATAATGGGCCTGTGCAGAGACTGAATCTTTGATTTCTCATTGGACAGTCCCCCAATATTTTGACCCATTTGACCTAGCTCCTAATGACCGGCTACCCTAGCTCCGGCTCTCGTTCACGTCTGGCAAGTGGGCAAGCGCATTCTTGGCTGCGATCAAGACCCAAGTAACACACCGCTTATTGTAGCTCGTCCAGGGGAGCAGTCCAGCAGCGGTTGGGGGTTGATGGCGCGGCTCTCTCAGTCACCATTAGGGCAGTGCTACCGGCGGAACTTTCTCAGGCGTACCGGCGGCAGAGTGAAACGACCGAGAGCGAGATCTCTGTTACTCCTGGAGCTCTTAGCGGTGAACTTTGAGGTTAACTCTGGCAATTGGATGAGATGACTGAAGACGGTGACCTTGCTCTGGGTTCCGACGTTCAAGAATTATCATTAGCAACAAAGATTCAAGAATTATCATTGCTGCCGACTGCTAGTTAATCACTGCATTTGCTTGCGAATGGTCAGTCACCGATTTGCTTCACAAAAAAAGAAAATATTTATAATGTATGTACCACTTTAATTACTTCGTTTTAATTACATTAAAATAAGAATAATTAAATAGTTCTGTATTTTTTGTTTTACCTTTTTAAGTATATTTAGAAAATTTTAATCAACGTAAAAGATTTTCATCAAAGTTTCATTTTTATTAAAATTGATGTGCAAAAAAGGTGGCTGACAACAAGATCCAGAGAAGATACATTTAATATATTTTATGTAGTGCTGATTTATTTATATACGAATATGTAGAAAAAAGTCAAATCGTTTGTGGTCAGCTACCTCTCGTAGAGTAGTAGTAGGCACTAAATCATATGATAATTGTTTGTACTTTTACATTGTTATTGTTGTTGATGCTGCATTATTGTTTCTCGGTTTTATTTGTTATATGCATTGTTAAAGCAATTTGTTATTGTGGGTATTTAAGTTAAAAAACTTCTATGATGAACATTATTAGAGACAATAGCCCTAAATAGGACTAAACTAATTGCTATATACACAAATAGGATTATGTTTTTTATCTCAAAATATGACTAAGGTATACCATGTCTTCCTACTTTACCCTTACCATAACTTAATATGATATCATATTTTAATTTGTAATAATTTTTTTTTACTTGCACAAAAAATCGAAAAGTAATATATAAAAAAGTCATATATATTTTTTTAAAAAATGATAAAACAATACAAATATTTTTTGTTTAAAATTTAAAAAAAATTAATAATACATAAAAAATAGATAAAACACATTTAAAATATATAAAAGTATGGAGGCCTTTCCCACAAACTCATCCATTACCCAACAATGTTACCACCGATCGGCTAAGAAAATGTTATTTTGTGTAAATATTGCCACTTTTTCTCTAAAAATGGTGTGAAGATGACATTTTTACTCTTTTTGAAAATGTCAATTTTTTCTCAAAAACTGCCATCAAACTGGCATTTTTGACACATGTTGCATTTTTTCCAGTGGTCAGAGGTGGTAGTGCTGGGAGAGGTTTTGAGGTGGCAACATAGGTTTGTTTTTTTCATTGGTCCTATGTTGGCAATTAAAGTTTCATTTGGTGGTCCTATTTGGAGAATTCTCTCACATTATTATTGTAGTTAGGATGTTTTTCAATTACACTGAATTATTTTTTTGAAAGGTTAGACTGAATTATTACTATGATAGATTTCTATAGGAGATTTCTATTTTAGTGCCGTAATTTTCGGGTTCGCCCATTTATTTCTTGTAACTTGAGTTACTGTTAATCTAAAAATCTGTCCATATTGAGTTTTTTCACAAAGAAAAACTCTTTTATGGAATTTTGATGTCAACGACGTTTTTCCGTGTAATTTTTTTTGACAAAAAGTTTACTTTGATATGGAAAAGTCATTAAAAAGGAAAATATTTATTAATTACATAACCAAATCTGCAGGTGACCAAAGTTACAAGATTAATAACTGGTACAACTTACGTGACTAAAATTGCAAATCATCCATATTTCTAGTTAGAATGTTTTCTTGGACTGAAATTTTCTATTCTTGTGTGGTCTGTTTAAGTATAATCTAAACTTATCTGTTCAAGTTTGGTCCGATCAAGTCCGCGTCTCACATATGTTTATTTTACTATCATATGAATCTGGTCTATTTGAGTCTTGTCTGATCTAATGTTAGATTGAAAAAATAGTTCAATGAAAAACATATTTAACTTTATTTTCTGTATTTTGTTATGAATCACATCAAAAGGCATCTCTTTCATTCACATATATATACAAGAGGGAAGATAGGGTTACACTCATGATGGGCCAGTACACATGGGTCAGAGCTATTGACTAATGGACATTCATACTTACATAACACCCCCCTTGGATGTACATCGCTAAATAAGAACACTACAAGAAAAATATGATGTTATACATTATAATCTCTATTGGATGCTGCCTCGTTAAAAACCTTGACGAGGAAAACCCAGTGGGACAAAACCTTGGTTAAGGGAAAATGAGTGCGGCACGTATATATACTCCCCCTGTTGACTGCATCACTTCAAGACTTATTTTAGAATCCAATATAATATGGTGACCAACTCCTTGTAGCAAAAATTGAACTATGTGTATGCCTCATTAAAAACCTTGTTGGAAAACCCCTTTGGGAAAAAAACCAATCAAGGAAAAGAGTACATAATGTATGTAAAACGATGTGTTGGCTTGACTGCCTCATAAAAAACCTTTAACTAAGAAAACCATGTGAGAAAAACATAGTAAAGGAAAAGAGTGCCGCCACTGGCCTTCGGGGCCTAATCTTCTGGATTGCATTTGAATTTACTCTTCTAGAGAAAAACAATACTCCGAATTCTATGTATCATAATATGTTATTTCAAAGTGACAAACTGCCTCATTATATGTAGACATTTTTAGGAGAGCATATCTTGAAACCAAACTTGATATTAACCCACACTGTGAAACTTCAAGTTCACTTAACTCCCATGGATCCACTTTTAAAATATTTGGGAGAATAGACGGTCTTATCATTTTCTTATCTAAGAAGTATTTATATATTGGATGTCTTATACGGCATTTGGTTTAAACCCGGGTTGACCTTAAATTGGTCATTTATTCAAAAATTTTAAACTTCATGCAACACATGTTTAAATTATTCAAGTATATATAGTATGGTGTGAGGAGAATTCTGCTACAGGTAGATATTATGGAAACACAATTTACACTGCGTTGGTATGGTCTCAAACTATCACCCAATAAGTATGATATCACTTTTTAAATTATTACTTCGCAGTGTTTGAGTAGCTTCTTTGAGCTTACACTCAATGTCTAAAATTTTATCATTATTATTTATGTGCACAACTTGCTTATAAATATAATTTGTGCTCCCATTACTTTTTATCCCTAATGTGTATGACTCTATCAAAAGTTAATATATTTTGAGCTCCATGGCACAAGAATATACATGCTTCAGGCATTGTATTATCCTTTCTTAAGACAAAGGCATCCAATCTCTAAAAGACTAAAGCAATCACCAATCTAGCAATCTCTTGCTTTCATTGAAATAATACGAATCACGCATCTAGAAATACATATAGAGAGTCTAACAATTAGTTAATACTACTCTTGAAGTAACGTAAAAGTTTTCAAATAATCATTTTTTAAAGGGTTGTCACGAACTGTTCATTTGAGTGAATTTCTAAAATTTATCTTAAATTGTTATAAACAACTTGTGGATATTGTCCGCTTTAGTACTTCAGGACTTCACGGTTTTAAAATGCATCCACATGAAGGGTTTCAGGCTTTGCTTATAAATGCGTACACTATCTCATGTGTGATCGATGTGTGAACTTCAACTTCAAAATATACTCACTTGTATGTCAAATTTATGCTCTTATAGTGACTTCTGGAACTTTGTTATAATTTCATATATATATTTATGAAATTTTGTTTGCTTTCTCCCCCTCTCAACTAGATTAATTTGAGAAAATCATTCTACATAATTACAACAACTTGTGATTTACTAGGCATTATTTGTGTATCCATAGCAATATTTAACTACGATTCAAATATAATTAAAATCTATATCATGTTTGCTAATCATGCATTTTCTTAAAGTATATCACTTCCTTGAATGTTTTATACAACATTGAAGTTATATGAGTCATATTAACTTATCGATTAATATTCAAACAACCAAGTTTCTCGTATAAATGTGATCATATTATGTATAAAAAATGACCATATTTCTAATAGAGATGTGACACGTACCTGTAACCTCCAATGCATTTTCTTAATGCTTACATTAGCCAAAAGTAGCATGAATTAATTAGTAATAATATAAATAATCATTAGAAAGACAAAGAAATGTTAACGAATTGATAAAGATTTACATCATACGTAAACTAGATAATGAAAAGCTACTAAGACCACATTAAACAAGAAATTTCAAAACCATCTTTAAAAATTGCTACTGCTGGAGCGAGAATTAATAGATATCTCAGATGAGATTCAAATCATGAGACATAATTAAACTATTGTGGTATTCAATTTTAAAATGTGGTTCTGTGTCATTAGGCATAATCAAGACAAACACTACTTGAGCACAATAAACAACAAATTCAAAACAACTTTTATAAAGAATTTCTAATTCATAAGCAAAACTTACCAGCTAGATTAATATTGAAACAAAATTATATCTAATATAATTTTGTTACAATGTATTATTTAAGAGTACTTGAAATATATATATGTGCGGCTTCACTTTGGTGTAATTGAACACATTGCGGTAAAATATTCCTATTAATTCCACAAAACGAACCACTGAATCCAATTGTACATTAGATCGATAGTCGATTGTTACAATATTTATATCATACTATCTTCGTCCCTTAAAACTTTGCCAATGTTGACCGGAACGAAGAATAATAAAGTAAAAATTGTATGGTTGAGGTTTGTCCAAAGGAGAGAGAAATAACAGAAACCACAAAATAATTGATTAAAAGGGAAAGTGACAAAGTTTTTTGGGACGTCTCAAAAAGTAAAGATGTCAAAGTTTTAAGGGACAGAGAGAGTATTTATTTGTTATTTTAATCAGAGACTAATTGTTTGTTAATTGAATAAATTAGGAGATTCTATATTCAAAATTAACATATGAAACGCAATTAGATTCTCATGGACATCAAAG